CAAAGATTTTCTCAATATTTACGTCTGAAATGTTTATACATTTGAAAAAAAGCACTGTCTAGGCTGTAGCTCCTTCCTAGCTCTGTATAATGACTATACCATCTAAATAATATCGGTACTTGATTGAATGCCCGTAATGCATAACAACGATTTATATATTGCGCAGATTCTCAAAGATTTACTTAATATTCATGTCTGAAATGTTTATACAGTATATTTGAAAACAACACTGTATCGTTCCTTCGTAGCATATCGTGACGCCATCGTTGATCTGCGGCTTCATAGCGTATGCGCATTTGCGCTGCTGAAGAAAAATCGGGTGTTCCGGGGGAAAGATCCTTTACACAACACGAGAAGCCGACGACGAGAAGCGAATGTTATAAAATTTGCAATAACGACAACGATTCCTCGAAACTTTTGGTAACTTGACAAAAGGCCAAAAGAATATTCAAATAAGACAAGTGAAATTGGCTAAATAACCTTCAAAGCACTAAGTACAATAAATCACCATGAACATAAATCGTATACACCCCCCGGAAAGTTTACTCTATGACTGACTGACTGACTGATTCGTGTGAATTTTCGACACTCATCACAATAGTGTAAAGTGAAACTTCACACTAAAAAGCTTAAAGTTGTTTTCTGATATGATAAATTAAATCGTTTCAATTTTTTCAGCAATGCTAAACTATCATAACAGGATGATGTTAATTCAACTGTAATATGGTCATTCCATAACAAGTTCTGTTTGAAAAGCATCCCAAGTACTTCATGATATATACGGCTATTCAACCCAATTTTATTTATCTGATAATTCTATAAACTCATAATTTCTGGTCATTTGTTGTGGAGCAAAGAACATTAATTAGTAGTTTCTGACTAAAAGTGGCATCTAACTCATTGACCCGGCTGCAATGTTGATATACATGTAAGGTTGAATTCATCAGCGTATTGAAGACTCTTTTCTTCCGTATGAATGTTTTCGTATGAATGTCTTCGAATTAATGTTTTCGTAATTCTCCAATATGATGAATTTGGAGTTCTAGGAGGATGAAAAACACACGTAATACCCAATTTAGTCTTCTTATTTCATGGACACAAATATATTTCAAAAGTAACTGTTATTCTTTAATTTGATAAGTCATTACTCATTTTGGAGGTAAATGCAGGACATTTGCGTATCAAACATGATGAAATATCTCACAAAGAAGGCGAAGAAACAATACAAACTTATAAAAAGTTACGTCGTTTTGAAAGTTCTTTTACATAAGACAATGAAACTTATAGACGTTCGTGTCACTTTCACTGGACAAAGCGTGAGGTTAGTCACTTTGTCATTTTGAAAATTCTTTCACATAGTGCCACTTTCACTGGAAAGAGCGTGAGGTAGTACATGTAATCAGGAGATTTCCGTTTCAAGGTCTGTGCGGCAACTTTCCATTCCTGAGCATTGATATCTTTTCAAGTAACATAAATACTTACAGTTACTGGATCAATAGCCTAACATAAGCTTAGAAATTCATGTGCTCCGACAAGCAGATCCATTAATATAAGCCCATGAAAATCTTATAGCTACTCTCGGCTGTTGGTCCTTTGTTATTTTCCAGCACGTTTTCGTGAATTTGGCAGTGGTCGTCGTTCAAGCTTGTGAGCAAAACTTTCACGACAAATTGGGCAGCGTGTGCTGTGAAAAAGAAAAAGTATTTAGCTGTCGTGTTTGTAAAAGCATGTTGGCTGTAACTGTGTAACAGTTGGAGAGCCATCGAGCAACGTTACTTCCATAGTATACGGGACTAACTCCAAATTCAAAATTTCAAAGTTTAGTTCAATTAAGAATTCGGTAGTTTATTAGACCTAAAAAACTAAACTAACTAATAAACTTTACAAACAAATCAGTAAAAAACAGGTACGCAGTGCGTACACGTTGCATGCCATCTGAAAGATAGTCAATTTCAGGGCCATAGGAAGATGATTAAAGTTAGGGGGCTCAACCGAGGGCTCAACGGAGACCGTGGGAGGCGCGAGCCGCCGCTAGGGGGGTCCGGGGGCATGCCCCGAAAATGTTTTGAATTTCAACTCTCTGAAACACGTTTTCCTGCATTTAGGGGTTAAAGTTTTTCCTGCATTTAGGGGTTAAAGTTAGGAGTTTTACAATAAAATATTATGATAATAAACAACAACATTGTGATATATCTACACTTTCTTAGCCGATGTCAGAGTATTTTTTGTACACTAGTTTTGTAGATGTATTGTCTTTAAAGTGTATATGACATGAAATTTCTTATTTTCTCAAATAAAAAAACTCTTTAAGCTGTAGAGTAATTTATTTTTCAGTTTCTTGTTTTTTTGCTTTGTTCCCGAGATATTTCAATTTGTTTGATATGTAAATGAGTGTGAATATGTCCGCTAATTTATAAGGTCATGTTGGTTGCAAGCTCTTCAAAATGGTTGAATATCACTGCTATCATCCAAGATAATAATTTCAAACTTCACTCACTGGTAAATGTGATGAAACACAGGAGAAAAACTTGAACTTATGTCAACAGTTTTTAGAGTTAATACATTTATAACCAGTGTAAGTTGAGCTTGCAACCAACATGACGTCATAAATTAGCGGACATATTCACACTCATTTACATGTCAAACAAATTGAAATATCTCGGGAACAAACCATAAAAACAAGAAACTGCAAAATAAGTTACACTACAGCTTAAAGAGTTCTTTCATTTAAAAAAATAAGAAATTTGACGTCGTATACACTTTAAAGTAAACAATTTAGGTGCAGGTTTCTTATCACAGCTTATTAGCATAACCAGTTGTCATGGTTTATAGAAATGCAAAAAATACTCAATTTTCACGAAGCACCAGCCAACTTAATTGTACGCATGCAGAATAGCGCGAGGTGGTGCTTACAGGTCACAGTAGTAAAGTTAACTTACCAACTTCAGTCCCTGTATCTTCCGAGTTTTGGGATAAAGCTGGGGCAAAGAAAGATTCAATCTTCCTGTGCGTCATACATCGGTATTAAGCAAACTCAAAACGTGCATGTGCAATTGTGCATTCACTTCAAGATTCATTTAGAATTTTTAGGGGGGCTGAGCCCTATGCTTCTAAAAGTTAGGGGGGCTCAAGCCCCCGCTGCCCCCATGGTTAATTTATCCCGGGCGTTCTGTGACCCCCGTCCGCGATCAGATCAGATCAGATCATGTCAGTGGTATCTAGTAAGTTACTTAAATCACATCGCCCGAAGTTCGAAGGTTTTACTCAAAATTCCAAAGGTTTTGAATTTTATCGCTGAAAATCGCTAAATATTTTCGTCTACAACTTTAGAAAGTGGAAATATTTCCAGATATGGGCCATCATTCGAATATTTACCATCAAAGAACAAATATGACTGGTTTATAGTTTATATTGTCTGAAAATACATTCCCATGTACATGCAAAATACATCCTCTGCGAAAATTCACAAACTAATCCCTCGAAATTTGAGGTCCTTGGCGTGGCTAGAAAAACAGTAAATGTCATACCATCACAATATTACTAAATTTCAGCGGATCCTTTTATTTACATATGTTAATACCACTATATATTTAGATTTTCTGCGTTCATATTTCAGCGAGTCCCGGTGGCGTGGCTGTCTAGAGCGTTGCGTACGTTCTTACATGCTGCCGATTGGCGGTTCGAATCCCGCAATAGCTAATGTTTTGTTTTTCGTTCTCCTATTTTTTCTTTAAGATTTTTCCTAAGATTACCTTTATACAATACGTTTTGGTTATTACGGTTAGAGTAAGGGTCAGGTTTATTTTTTAAGTGTATAATATTCAATTAAAATAATATCTTTAATTGTCGTAATTAACTTTAGTCAAGCAAGGTGTTTCACCGCGGTATGGCCAATGGTGCTTTCCGGGTGGCTAAGGGAGTATAAAGGGTTATTTTAACTTGTTACAAAAGAATGGAGAAAGGACATTTACTTCCATGCTTGTTCATTGATTATTAATTTGTACTTTCCTACATTTTGTAGTTCGCGCCAATTTCCATAATTCGCGCGCGAATTCCGCGAATTGTGTTAATTAATGCTAAATGTTGAGCCGCTAACATGATCTGATTTAATCTCGGACGGGTGTCACAGAACGCCAGGGATAAATTAACCTGAGTTCAGGCCCTTATGTTTTCATTCGCCAGGATTAATTGGCGGCG